TTTTTTACTGATATTCGGTTATTTCTTAATCTAAAGAGTCATTCCGTCGAGGATATTTTTATAGCTCAACGCGACTTTATATATATAGCCACTCAAAGCACAAAGCCTAAAACAAAAGAAACTTTTGTTGAGTTGATTAGACCCACACAACGGGCTCTTGAAAAAGTTTGTTCATACACAGAGAATAATCGCCCATCTCCTTTTTTCAATCATTTATCTACTGTCAGTGAAGGCATTGCCGCGTTATGTTGGGTTTCCGCTGATCAAAAACCTGCTGGTTTTGTTGGTGATATGAAAGATAGTTCTCAATATTACGCGAATCGAGTGATTAAGGAATTTAAAGAAAAGTACGTGATTATATTATTTCAATTTTAATAAATTTAATTAACGCAATTATTGTTTTCTAACATGTATCGTTATTATTTAGGGAAAGTTCTCATGTTGATTGGGCAAATAGTTTCATACTTCTTCTTACAGAACTTCAATCTTATGTTAAAAAATATCATGCCGATGGCCTCGTTTGGAATCCGAAGGTTCATATTTTCTTCTTTATTATATTTATATATATATATATTTTTTAAAAAATTTCGAAAATTAATTGCCAATATAAATTAGGGTGCAGACCCTGAAACATTTATTGGTAGAAATCTAAAATTGAATTCAACGGGTGCATCATCGTCAAGTTTACCACCACCACCACCACCACCGCCACCACCACCAGCAGTTATTGTGGATTATGATAATATTTCCGAAAAAGGGCCAGTTGATATGAGTGCAGTATTTGCTGAACTTAATCGTGGAGAAAGCATTACGTCAAATTTGAAGAAAGTTGACAGTAGTCAAATGACACACAAAAATCCAAATTTGAGAGATAGTAGTGTGGTGTCTGAAGTTGGTGGTAAATTATTATTTTCGGTATTTTTTGCATTTCATCCTCAGTTTTTAAGTTAATTCTTTTTTAATCAATAGTCAAAGTTCATAAAAAGGGACCTGCAGCTCCTCCAAAACCCGCGTCATTATCTCTTAAAAAGCCACCTAAAAAAATTCTTGAGGGTAACAAATGGATTATAGTAAGTTTATTTATTATTGGTTTTTTTTTTTTAAAAAAATATATATATATATATTTATATTTATATATTTACACATAATATACAAATGTTATTTTTTTTTTCCAGGAAAATTTTGAAAATGATCCCAACATATTGATTGGTGATGCAGCTATTAATCATCTTGTATATATTTATGGTTGCAAAAACTCTACAATACAAATCATGGGTAAAATTAATGCAGTCACCATAGGTAATTTTATAAATTATTTTCACATTTTATATTTTCTATTCTTTAATAATAAAATTCTTTTAATTGATTCTGTATAGATTCATGTCAGAAAACAGGACTTCTTTTGGATTCAGCAGTTTCAGCAGTTGAAATTGTAAATTGCAAATCAGTTCAAGTTCAAATTCAAGGGAAAACCCCAACTATCTCTGTAGACAAGACAGATAGTGGTCAATTATTTTTATCTAATGAGTGTTTTGATATTGAAATAGTGACATCTAAAAGTTCTTCAATTAATGTTAATTTGCCAGGAATAGGAGAAAATGGAGATTATGCAGAAAAGCCCATTCCAGAACAGTTGAAGAGCACTATTATGGATGGAAAACTTATATCTGTTCCTTTGGAACATTCAGGATAATTGCTAATTTAATCAATTTTTTATTAATCTAATTTAATTATCATTGTATTTTTGTATTTTTGAGATTATTTGATGTGAAATGTTTTTTTCAATAAAAATATTAGTAAATAGTTTTAATAGCTTTTGTCACCTTTGTATAAGGTTATTTATTAAGATGCATCAAGTAAATGATTCTTCTTTAGCCCTAGTTAGCTCTTATTGTTCATCTTCACTGGACAAATTGAAGCTTGAATCAAAAAAGAAAGAAAAAAAGAATTAGTAATATTAACAATAAATTTCCCAACAGCCACTTAGAATATCAAAAGAATATATTAAATAATTTTTTCATTAAATTTATCTATTATTAGTTCGCATTTAATGTTCAAGAGATTATACATAATAAATTTAATAAAGTTAATAAAATATCCGAATTAAAAAATTTAAAGAATTAAGATTTGCATAAATTTTAGCTGTTAAAGAAAAGTTATTAGACATGATAGATGAGTTACTTCGCTACATTACACATAATAATCTTCCTTTCCAATATTTATTATATTTAAAAAATAAAATAAAAGAAGGGAAGGTGAGCATTTACTTAACTCTTTAAGGACACCGAAGTAGGAGAGGTTACTAGCACTTCACTACCTCTGTATATTAACTTAAAAAGAAAAAGAGAGAAACTATTAAAAAGAAAGAAGAAAAAGAAAGAAAGGGAAAGGTGAGCATTTTCTTAACTCTTTAAGGACACCGAAGTAGGAGAGGTTACTAGCACTTCACTACCTCTGTATATTAACTTAAAAAGAAAA